ACTAGAGGGAAGAGAGCTAGTCATCACCACCCACCGCCAACTCTTGGGCTACTCTTTTACCAACGAATAGTGGGATTGACCGTCACCTTTTAACGCCCCACGGCTGAAAGGGCGAGCATCTTTGGTGTGACAGGGATTCGAACCCGCGACTCTCAGATTGCGAGTCGAGTGCCTTAACCACCTGGCCATCATTATTAATTAATCGGCTAAAACCCTAAATTTATGAAATTGGATCATTCATAATACAACAGTTTTCGTAACAAACGAAATTAAATTATTGCTTTAATTATATGCAAATTTTTTCTCTTAGGTCTCAGATGTTCGAGCTGTTTGTCCTATCCAGGACTTGACCGACAAGGCATCTAACCAGCTAGAATCCAGTGTTTATTCCTACATTATCGACTACATTCCCAGTAAGGCCATTAAAATTGCAAACAAAACTCTTCCTCAAGTTGCCTTCAGTGGATTAGACATTATAGCCATCTTTGATTTGCTCCATAAATACATTTTTGAGCCCACTGATGCGGACATTAAGTTCCAAAGAATCATACAAGAACTTTTCTATACGTTCGTTCATACTGGTAAACCTTTCCTTGGTTATTCTCCACTGAAAAAAGCAGCTTATATCAACTTTATTGGAGAGGTTGTTAATGCGAAGATGGCGCCTTACGAAAACTGTCACGTATGGGAAGATTTTCTGATGTTTGGAAATATTAATTGAGTAAATATGCTTTTCCGAGGTTTTAGAGAGTTCAAAATTGTAAGAGCATTTGGCACATTGTACGATATAAAATAAAAATGTCAAATTTCTGTTAAGTGAAAGCATATTAATAATGTTGAAATTTGCTTAGCATAAATCATTCATTTTCATATTTAAATATCATCTTATAATAATCATAAGTTTATACTGTAGTTTGTCACAAAAGTCGTACAGGTGTACGCATAGGTTTTATAGATTACAACTAAAAATTTATAAAATATTATCTTGAAGTTCGAAAACGGAAACAAACAAAACAACAACTGTCACTTGTTAAACTATCTTCTTTGAGAACATATATCCACGTCACTCTCAAGTTTTTTCTTTATTAATCTTTGATCTACACAATGATCTAGTCGTTTTGTTATATTGAATTTTTAGAACGAACTCAAAAGCGGGAATTGCAAATGGGTGACGAAAATAATATATTTGAACACACACAAACATATATAGTGAGTTTGACCATCCTGTTTTCTTTTAAATATTAAATGTTAATGTCTACTAATAGGAAAAGCACAAGTCTCTTGTTCAGGGCGTTATGAAGAGACATTATTTCCTAACACTCATACTCATAATGGAATACTTAAATTTCGCAAGCTGTAAGATAACAGTCTATGTTTCCTGCTATCATATACCATATTGTTACGTCTCTGATTGTTTGTTAATTTTCCGTAGAAATTCTTTCCGAGAAACTTCAGCGATACTAGTTCTTTTTTAAATAAAACTAGTTTATTATTTCTCAGTTTAACTTTGCAAAACACTTAATTTCCACAGGCACTTTAACTTAAACACACGTTATAATTCACAACGATTCACGCCCATTACTTACGGTCACTACCGCGCTTGACTCAATTGTCCCTCTCTGTCTGTCTGCAATTCTATTCCCCATTAATTTCGCTTTATCTGGCACACTTATATACAAGAATAGAGGGCGCCTAGCAAATACTGGATTATTCGTGATGTTCCCCGATCCTTCTAGAATAACATGACGTGTTACTAGCGTCACGTGACTTCCGTTGTCTTAACAATATTATAAATACAAATGCTTCGATTACACTAGTTTGTTTTAAGAAATTGAAAAAGTTTTGTGTGAAAAGAACATTGATGTATAGTTCTACGAAGGCACAGAGTAATTTTGATACTATTAAGTAATTGAAAAAATTATGATTACGAATGTTGAGATAATAGATCATATTATCATAATAAATATTTAAATTGCAATCAAAATCTATTAAGCCTTAAATTAAAATGCATATTAATTTTTGAAATAATAAAGTGTTCACAAGAACAATATATGAATAAAACAATTTGGAATCATAAAATAATAAGCAGGAAAATAAAAAATAATGAACGGGAAGCAGAAATAATAGACAAATAGGCAGGAAAGTGGAAAAACAGCGAACGGAAAGCAGAAATAATAGACAAATAGGCAGGAGAGTGGAAAAACAGCGAACGGAAAGCAGAAATAATAGACAAATAGGCAGGAAAGTGGAAAAATAACGAATGGAAAACAGAAATAATAGACAAATAGGCAGGAAAGTGGAAAACGGCGAACGCGAGGCAGAAGTAATAAAAAAATATTCAAGAAAAGTGGATGAACAGCAAACTGGAAACACAAATAGTGGACAAATAGTCAGAAAAAGGGAAAAACAGCGAATGGGTTTGTTTGTTTGTTTGAATAGTGGGATTGACCGTCACATTATAACGCCCCCATGGCTGAAAGGGCGAGCATGTTTGGTGGGACGGGGATACGAACCCAAACAGCGAATGGGAGGCAGAAGTAAAAACAAATATTCAAGAAAAGGGGAAGAACAGGAAACTGGAAGCACAACTAATGGACAAATAGACAGGAAAGAGGGAAAACAACGAATGTGAGGCAGAAGTTTGTTTGTTGTTGTTGTTTTTTTTTTTGGAATTTTCAAAGCTAAAGTCTTCAAATTGAATTATACGAGTTCGTAGGAAAATGTCAACTTTAACTTTTTCAATTAAATTGTATTTGTGAATAGCTGTACCTGAACAACTTTAAAGCTATGAATCAACATTTATTTATAATTTAAAATATTGTACTGATACATGCTATCGGTGGAAAGATATTTGAACATGGCCAGGTGGTTGGGGCGCTCGACTCGCAATCTGAGGGTTTCGGGTTCGAATCCCCGTCACACCAAACACGCTCGCCCTTTCAGCCGTTGGGGCGTTACAATGTGACAGTCAATCCCACTATTCGTTGGTAAAAGAGTAGCCCAAGTGTTGGCGGTGGGTGGTGATGACTAGCTGCCTTCCCTCTAGTCTTACACTGCTAAATGAGGGATGGCTAGCGCAGATAGCCCTCGTGTAGCTTTGCGCGAAATTCAAAACAAACAAACATTAAACGGGTTATGACAAATTCCCATTTTAAAATTTATCTTCTTCAAGATATAATTTACAAACTTAACCTTGAATTTTTCGCTTTAAAATGATAAAAAATATTAAGAAAACATTGATAAAGCATTTATTAGTTCAATTCGGTTGCTTTGCTCATATATTTCGAAAGATTAATGTTTCTGCATGTTTCTAAACATTAAAGATTTCAAAAATAAGAAGGAAGATAATATAATAAGTTATCGTGAGATGGAATCGCTAATTGCGTTTAGAAACAGGCAAACGACGTTTACTTGGCTACTGCACTCCTACATTTACCCCCAAGTGGCACAGCGGTATGTCTGCGGACTTATAACGCTAAAATCTGGGATTCGATACCCGTGGTGGGCAGAGTACAGATAGCCCATTGTGTAACTTTGTGTTTAACTTCAAATAAACACGCTCATACGTTTTGATTTAATCAATTCTTGATAATATTGAAATGAAATTTTAAAAACCAAACGCTTAAAATAATATCTGTTTATTTTAATATTTTAAACTGTAAAGAAGTAGCTAAAAACCTGAATAAATTCTTTGGGCAAATATGTTTAATATTTAATGATGAGTGGCTTTTGTTGGCAGACGTAGCTATTGTGTACGTAACATATACTCCATTGTCTTTACTCAGGTATTGTCTAAATCAAGATGTGAATAATAAAGAACAAGACGAATGTCAATATGTTTTTACTTTGGCAATTTTCTTATCCAGTGTTTATACGCAAGTAACTTCTTCATTAATTGTGTTTTACTAAAACTTGTCCATAACAATCAAAGCAGCATATTTCTGAATACAGCAGATTTTCCTATAATAGAAAATTATTGACGCTGCTTCATTAAAGATTTATTAAAGTTGCATTACTTGTAGAAGTAATGGTCTAAGAAACAATACATATTTCAATGTTAAAGTTCAAATTCACAGAATAACGTCCGTCGACATAAATGGTAGCAATTACGGACAACAAGAACCTAGTGGTATTTAAATAAGAAAGAAATTTTCAAAAGGTATTATTTTCTTTTTTCTTGTCGCATGGATTTCTCTATATAAAGACACCAAGTTAATTAAAATACTAATATTAGTATTATTAATTCAAACAGCTTAGATTATTAAAAATCTTACGGTTTAGACGCCAAAAGCTGGCGAAGTATTGAAAATTAAATACCAATAGGCCTAAAATTTCTGATAAAAATTAAGTAAACTTCAGAAGTATTTTTCTTTGTTGTTGTTGTTCACACTTCTTTTAGTTTTTCCATTTCGGATTCGAAATCAAATTATGTAAAAATAGCATTTAAGATCTATCTATTGTCTCCAAAAAGTTCACTCTCCAACAGACCTTTCGTTAAATTCCAAAAACCGTCAGTTTTTTTTAAACATTATTTTCATGTGCAGTATAAGCTTTTAAAAGTCAAACTCTGAAAGCTGGCGAAGCATCAGAAACCAATAGGTCTAACACTTTTGATAATATTCACGTAAACTGCAGATTGATAAATTTTTTCAAGAAGGCAGTGACTGTTTTAAGATAAAATATAGATCTGAAATGCTATTTTTACACAGCTCTGATGGAAATCCGAAGTCGCCAAATTAAGAGGTGTAACGAATTTGTTCTTATGTATTTATTTTAATATCAACGTTGTTTAGATTAAGTTTATATTTAAAAACATGCATAGCTTATAGTGTTCGATATGTATTGCGAAACTCACGTCTATTCTCCAAAGTTGCAAAAGATTCTCGAGAGTAAGAAACAAAAGTATATGTGTGTACGTGAACGCTTTAATCAGTACTGTTACGTAAGACTGAATTTTCTAGAAAACCTTCCCACGGCTATAAGTATAACCAACGCGACGCGCCAAAAGGAGAGTGTCTATAATTAGTTCGCTATAGCCAGTGAGCTATAAACTTCAAAAGCTACAACTGTAATTGTTATAAGGTTTACCAATCGGAAAACTTCAGATATTTGACCAGGAGCATTTACAAAGTTCGAACATTACAACTCATTTAACTTCAGTGGATTCACATCGGACATTAATACTTTTACGAAAACATTATTTATCTAACGGCATCGATAGAAACTCAATTTCTAATAGGTGTATGAACAGTGTGAAGACTACAGGGCTAGCTAGCTCGCCGTTAAGCGAAACATACCTACATAAACTCGTAATTAACTCGCTCATCGTGAACCCTCGATAAGATATCGAAGAAGTTCCAGACTAAAAGTAAAAGGAAGACTTTATATTACTTGTAAGTTTGTGAAACTTTTGTTTATGAATCATTGTTTGTAATAGCTATTTGTAATAATTGTTATTGTAAATTGTATTGTTGTGTATATATTAAAACGTATTTGTGTTAAAAAAGAAAACGGTGTGTATCAATCTTGTTGGCAAATATCGTAAACTGACTATATATCGGCTTTAAAAACTAAATCCAAAGTACAATTTAACTACAAAATTTAAATTATCAGTTAACTCGGCTTCGGACTATTCGAAATTCTAATACGTAAC